ACAGGTTGTTCGTACCAGAAATATGTATATATATGCACTGATAATGACATGAGAGTCACATGACCAAATCAACCTGCATGTAAATAATAGGCCTGGATGATTGGAACCTACAATCAGGTGAATCAGAGGTTTTTTTTCAAACTGTAGCTCTGATTATAGTGTTCAGTGCACTGTAAAAAAGGTTAGTGTTATATAAATGTTGCAGATCCTTGCACTGGAATATTGCAGCATCGAAACAACCTGTATCAGGGGCGTTTATTCCTATCTTATTTTCTACCTATGTTGCATAACACCTTACAGGCTTTACAAGGCTAGGACAGTTTTAGCTGTGGGTACTACGTACTTTACAAACTTCACAGACTTTTTGTGGAAATCCAGTCAATTATTTTATTGTGCCATTGCTGAATTTCCATCAGTGTGAGTGTGGTATGTTACTGTCTGTAAACCTTTGTTGACTTTTAGATACATGTACACTGGCCAGAGACGTTCCCCCTCACAGTGAGCCACTGTTTTGCAATGCAGTGGGCTTTGTGTCATCAGGAGAAAACTACTGGTGCTGGATATACAGTATATGTCCATCATGTCTGAAACTTTACAATAACCAAAAGGTCACAACCATGTATGTATTCATACCCAAGACGTCTGACTCCTACATGCTGAATCACACTAAGTCACATTGGGTGAGAACCCTCTAAATGCCTTAAAATGTGAAAAATAATTATTGTAACCATGACAGTGAAAAGTGGGTGGCATTTTTGGCATGGCTTTTTCTTTGTCCTCTGGCATTCCTATTGGGCACATTACCCTGAATCTAGATTACCACTGTTAAACGTACAATACCCTGTTAGACAGAGGCATTCATTTGATTAAACTGACAGGAATAGGAATAGAGAAAGAGAGTAGGTGTGCACAAAGTGCTCTGCTGTCAACCTTATAACCTTAAGGAGAAATCAACCATTGGCTTTTAATAAGCATTTCACAGAAAAACAGTTACACTTCTTCTTGCTTTATTTCAATGATTGTCTTCAAAACCTTTTGTTTTGCTAAACTTCGGTCACATCTAGTTTTACAAGCCGTCCTTTCTGCGTGTGTGTAAGCACTGGCTCAAAAGTCAAAAGATAATGTCTATGTGAGAACTGGGCAATGGATAAAAGTGAACTTTTATAAACATCCAGTCTGCATTTAAACAGCATTTGTGCTTACTACTCTTCAGAATATAATCAAGGAAATGTTGAGACAATATTCATTTTTCAAACACACTTCTCCCGGTTTTAAAATAAACATTTAAATGTCTTTTGACCTGCAAATCACCAACTAAATGCTTACGTGCTTACGTGCTTTAGTAATAACAAAGACATCTAGGGAAATTGCTTCTTGTGAAGTAGAGGATTTCTCATGGGTATGAGGGACCTGCACATGTGTTAATTGTAACATTTTCTGAATTATTCAAAGCATCTCCACTCTGTGGTATTAATCTGCAGCACTGAGTAGCAAAAGAGCAATTTATTTAAATGAAGTTGAGATAATTACTGTAAGTGCCACAGGTCTCAGGAACTTGCTCAGTATGTACCAAACAATGATGAGAACTGTGTGATATGCTCGTTGGCCACAGCAGAACCACCGTTTGCTTCTCCATCATGTGGGATCACCTCTCAGACTTCCTGTGAGAGGCTGACTCTTCAATGTGTGCTGGGTTTACTCCGGGTTGTCCTCTTAGATATGCACACCCATAAACACAGTAGGTACTTACAGGAAAGTCCAAGAGCCGAAACCACATTAATTTAACCTTCTTAATACATAAATGCACAGCCATTCTGAGACTCGCTACATGTTTTATTCATAATTCCACATGTACAGAGCAGTTATCATTTTCTCAGCTCTAAGGATATTCTTCACTGTCCTCTAAGAAACACCAGGTAACTTGTCATTTTGCAGGAGCAGGTGTCACTTATTGACTCAAGTGTATTTTGAACATATCTCATCAGTTACAGCAATGTCACCACTTTGAAAATAGGTCCTTTTACCGTAAGAAAAACATTAACCTATTATCTGTCAGAGCACACCTTCCTGATTTATTCTGATTCAGTCTTTTATCACAGAGCTGGTAGCTGGTCTGACTCATCGCTCTTGTTTCTGGCTCAGGCAGATATCAGTCTCTGTACAGTCTGGACTGGGGGTCACTGGAAGAAGTTTTCAGCTCAGATTGATTGATTCATGCAGATTTATTTTCTTTGTGTCCTTCTGGACAACTGATTACGTGTTTTGACCAGATTAGAGCCAATTACACTTTTTGCTATTGGAACCTGACTGTAACCTGGCAAACATCCACCAATATAAAAATATTTATTATATTTCACCAATATATCCTCATTGATTTCAGCTTATCGTGAAAAGTTATGCCAGGCATAAAATATGTTATTATAAATCAAAAAGATTCTTAATATGAAGTGGCACATTTTGAAAAAATACTTTAGTACTTTAGTTTCGTCAAGCTTTGCAGGAAATAGCGAGAATACCGGAAACTGAACGATTCAACTTTGGAAATGAAAGTGTGAAACCAAACTGTCTAAAAATGAAAAGCAGAGAAATCGAATAAGAGTCTATAAAATGTGGCTTCGAGATCTAATATGAAGAGAAACAATATATTTTTACAGCAATACTTAAATATTGTGTCTATGTGCTCGGTAATGGAGGCATTATTTTGAAAGTTATCACCGGAAAACAAAATCTTGTTTTGGCTCTTTTGACACAGGTTCACTTTTTTAAATCTGGAGCTGAGGAAGCGGCGGAATAACAGTGGTGGAAGATTTTTAACCCCACTGAAATATTTCCAAACGGTGTAAGCAGCATCTCCGGCAGAGGATGACACAATAAACCTATTGAGGAAAACTAGAATTAAAACAGCCAATCGCTGCTCTTCTATACGATTGCGTATTGATTTGGGTTGGAGCGTCTTCTTTGGCCACCGGGCTGCTCTCATCAATCTTCCCGACGCTCGGCACCTGTGTGTGTGTGTGTGTGTGTGTGTGTGTGTGGATCTTCAGTACATGGAATTTTACTTTGAGTCAACGGATCTTTGCAGTGAAAGATTTTATTTTTTTTGTCTCTAACTAGACTTCATTGTCAGTGAATATAACCAGATACGACGTGGGATGAGAGAAGAAATTAAAAGATTGATGAGAGTTTGATGAAAAAGTGCAACTCGATTGGATGCGCGTCGCGCTGCTGCTGCTGGACTTCATATTCGAGGAAAGCAAACCCTCAAACCAGCAGCTGTGACCCTTCATGCTTTTTTATGATGGGAAGAAATGACTGCACTGCTTTCCCAAAATAAAGGAATAATTCTCCAATAACACCACCAGCGACCCGGATCGATCAACGAGGCTGATTGAGGGGGGTCCACCACAAAGTCTCTAAACTGGATCCTACTGCGGGTATCGATTAACGGATTTGACTGATCACCTTCAGACACTTAACACCCTCAAAGGTAAGTTGGGGGAAATTAGACAATAAATGACCACCTGTGGGAAATGAATAGAGTGGAGCTTATTATTACAGCCTATTAATGTGTTGGAGCTCCCCGCAGGCCCGCACCTGTTGTTGGGCTCGGTCAGGACCTGCGGATGTCCACTGACAGTCTGAATATCTGCTGCAGTTGTCATTCTTTCATATGTCTCGGAAGACGGTGTATGCTGTGGAGACTGTGTGAGAAATGGGCTGTAAATGTAATCATACAAAGACTGCAGTAAGAAAACCGACGGATCCGTGCTTCATAAAGTTTTTAAATGAATTGACCGTTGACCTGCTGAAGATGAATCGTCTTGAGATGTTCAACACAACGTTGCGCTCATACACAAAAATAAGACTGTATCTTCATTTTAAACCAACGTTATGATTCTCCCTCTCAATCATAAGGCAATATAAGGTCTGAGTAGAATTCCTTTATTTAAAATGCCGACAATAACGCCTGTTGGTGATGATACCTGGCTATTTGCTGTTGTATGAATGTAGTTTGTGTCACACTGATGACGAGCAGGAAGCGTGGTTGTGTGCGTGTTGGGGGTCGATGTGAGCTCTCACTGTGGACACCCCGCCGGGATGCCGGCCGCCCCCCACCCACCATCACCATCCTTAAGTTGAGCAGCGTCCAATGCGCGCTCTGGCTCCACACGGTGGCGCACGCTGTTGCGCACGGCGCGCTCTCCCGGAGATGTGTCGCTCTCTGTGTGATACCTTCACAGCATCCCTGTGTTGACCTGCAGAGCGCACTGTAAGCATAATCCACTGGGATATAAAGGGTGTGTGTTTTTCCTGCAGACACACTCACAAACAGTCTTTCACTCTATCTGTCAATCTGGCATCCTACTTTCTGCTTGTCTTTTTCATTCTTGTCAGCTCCTGTTGATATGTCATTCCTTATTTGTCTATCTGTCTACACTCTGTCTCCCCTTTTCTCTTTCTGTCTCAGAGTCTCTGCCTCTCTCTCTCTCTCTCTTCTTTGCCTCTATCTCTCTTCCTCTCCCTACCCTCTCCCTGTGTATTTTGTGAGCACAGCCGCAGGCTCAGGCAGGCAGGCAGGGCTGAGTCTGTCATTGGGACTCACTAATGAGCTCTCCACTCTGTCTCCCCATGTGGAGGAATGTTTGCACTGGAGAGTGAGTGAGAGAGCAAAGGGGGAGAGAGGGAGTCACAGAGAGGGAGGGTGGGAGTGAGTGAGGAGCCAAGGAGTGGAGCATGAGAGGAGCTGTCGTACCTGCTGCTCTCACTGCTCAAATATTAACAACGGGTTTCTGGGAACCAATGCCGCTGCTCTGGGACAAGCCCAAACTGTGGAGGCAGCCGGGCTCAGTGGTTTGTGGACAGGCAGTCTGCCGCTGCTGCTGGAGGCACCGCTGCATCTAAGAGCCTGATGGAGGAGGAGGTCACAGAGCCCGATCCTCAGACAGTGGAGCCCACCGGCATGCCGCCGCCGGGGACCCACTCTGAGGTAAATGGAGACTTGCCGGGCAACCCATACCTGAGGGACGGGGCGGTGGACGTGATGGAGAGTCCAGCGAGGGAGCCTGTTGTGCTGCAGGATCCTGCTGAGTACAGTCAAAGCCACCAGTATGGGTAAGAATCAGCATGGGAGAGAGAGAGAGAGAGAGAGAGAGAGAGAGGGAAAGAGTCTGTTGCTGCAGGAAGCAGCTGGTAATATGTGCAGAGAGGTGGCACTTCTGTGGGACGCTCCCTTCTCTTTTCTCAGTTCAGAGAGCGTTTGACTCCTGTTTTGCAGTGATGGTTTGATGAATTGTCTTAGCACCCAGTTGACTGCATTTTCAAGCACCTTGTGTGCCTCTGCTGCACAGTCCATAGCACTGGAAAGTCATTTAACCATAAATTGCTCTCACAGAAGGTTCAGGCATGTGTTACTGATCCATAGTAATATTTTACACCTTATTATTGGCATTACAGGGGCAGATTTTGACACACACATGTGTTTTGTTGTCTGTGTTGCATAACTTGGTGTCATTTTACACACCCTGGGAACAGATATGGTTGGGTGGCAAAAAGCAGTTGGTAACTAATCTTGATCATGACTTGCTATGTGGAATTGCTCTGTTTATACGTTGATGATTTTAGCATCCCCTTTGTGTGTTTGATGCAGCAGTGTACAGTTTTGTCAAAGGCTCACTGTGTTTACACAAATTCATATCAGTGGACAGAGTCATCAGAAGGAACAAGCTGCATCAGTGTATGGAAACACCACAGAGTGTCAATACAATTGAAATGTGACCAGGATACCCAACTTCTAGATCCATTGGTCAGGTGATTTTATCAGCCGATGTGCGCCTAATATGGGCTTATCACAGATATATCACTACCGGTGTATATTTTCTGATATGCACCGATATGAAAACTTTTTTTTTGTTCTAATAACTGCTCAGTGTGATTAAGTGCGGATTTACCCTTAAAGCAAGGCTCGCCTTTCTTTTGGTATTATAGTTCAGCAGTTTTTCTGTGAGAGGGGAATGAATGCCAATTCAAAGTGGCGTCTTTTTTGTGCCTTGAAAGGGGAATTGCATCTTGTTAATAACTTGGTGCATTTGAACTAAGACCAGTGCCTATTCTCTACATTCTCTACATACTCATAAAGATGTCACTGTGTCATGGTCCTATTTACACAGTTGATTTTGTAGCTGGAATGTCTGCTGCCGGTACACAATGTTCTGCTTGTGTCCCCTTTAGTATCGGCCCATTGCTATTGGCTGTTGTGCTGCAGGGTCTGATGTGAGAAATTGCCATCTGGCCTCCCTGTCATGCAGAAAGCTCTTTTCATCAGGTTGCCCTCTCTCCAAGAGTCGAGGCTGAGAACTGAGGACTGGTTTGGTACTCTGGTGTGGTCGTGGTTGATGTCTTATAAAAAGAGAGAGAGGTTTGACACTTGCAGGACTGATTGATGTAAAATTTCAATACAGGGGAGAAGATCAATGTGTATAAACTGTTTACTATCAGCTTACATTGGATGAAAACCGTCTAATGATTATTGTTTAGATTAAATCCTCTGTTAAGAATTGGTTTAAACCGCCAATTTTCCTAATGACTTAGAAAATATCAATATTAAGTCTCTGTGAGACTGTGGTATTCTGTTTCTGGACATTTTACAGGAAACAATCAATTGATTGTTTAAATCATTTATCAAGCAAACAGCAAACATTTTCTCTTTTCAAGTTCTTAAATCTGCTATAGTTCTGTGTTGTATCATAGTAAATTGAATTATAAGTTGTTTTGGGCTTTTGGACAAACAAGTGATTGAAGACATTTCGAATATTCGAGCTTTTGATGTGAATTGTTCTGTAATTTCACATTTTCATTTAAAAAAATGTATTTCAGGAAAAAAAAAGATGGGTAACAAATCTAAATTGCTTTTTTGTTTTCTCCGTGTCCTGATGCTGATATCTTAACTACACCTCCATGTTGTATGTCAAGGTATGACACTAATCTATGACGTCTAGTTGCCGGACACAAGAGTCCATCATGCCCTCCCATTCCCACCGGTTCTTTAAGGACATGCAGCATCTTAATGGCAGCGGTGTAATAGCGGCTTAGTGCTTATTTCTTCAGGGTCAAAGTATTTTGATTAGTCATGTCATCTTTGTCTTATCCTTGAAGTGTCAGTACAAATAGTGCTTTCCCTGTAAGGCATGCACACAACTTTAGCGGAGTTGGTTTTATTTATGTCTCGGCTGTAATTGGGTTCAGTTTTGCTGTGACCCAGTCTTAACAACACTGGAAAGACTTAAAAGGGCTATAATGATGCAGTAATAGTTTGTCTACTGTCAGGCTACCATGAAATTGTTTTATTGTGGGTGGCTGAAAATACACTTTAGAAAAGAACCTACTATAGACCATATATACTGTTATTTATTTTCTCAAGTTCTAACATGGTATATTTTTAAAAACTAGATTTTGAAAATACATTTGTTCTGTAAAATCACACAACAGTAAACTGACTTTCTGACTGAGTCATCATCATCAGAGTCATCATAATTCAGACATCGTCATTAAATCCAGGAACCTATGCAACCATCCCACATGCGTCACTTTCGGGACTTTAATGTCTTTAATCCTTTAAATAAAAAAGAAAGATGAGCTTCTGCATGCTGTCTTCTGAACTTGGTGCTGTTTTATTAGGAGTGATTAAAGCAGACAGTCTGTATGTTTGATTGACAGTATGTGGAACCTTTTCTTCTGTTAACTCTTTGACCTTTTAATCTTGTTCACAACTGTTAGCTGTACTCGGGTGGATGTTGTTATGTAACAATAACATTTGGGGAAAATGCAGGAAAATTGAAATGTAAAAAGAAATGAACTACTACTGTAGGTATTGCTGAAAATGAATGACAGAATTCTGACCTTTTATCTGCGGCCACCTTTTTCTCAGCCGTTGTCACTTCTAGTTACTCAGCTCTAAGAAATGAATAGATGAATAGATTGGTGATGGGCTGATGGTAGTGTGGAATCATATTCAGGCTTAAATTGGGAGCAAAGGAAACAACTGTGCGTCGGGTTGATTAAATTCCACAGGTCCAATCACAGCTAGTGCAACCATCAACAACTCTGTGTCCTATCAATTCAACATGTCCTTGAGCCAGACCCTGAATCCTGATTTACTCACTCACTTGAAAGTTACTTTGGATAACAGCATTAGCTAATGGCCTCAACGTGATGTAAAATTTGAGTGACTATCCCATAAAACCTGGGCAGGTTTATTCTGCTTTCAGTGTCACGTTCATGTGTGATTTTACAGATTCTTGCGTTGTTCTTGTCAGCCAAGATGCAGCAGCTTCGCTAAAACAAATTGCGCTGTTTCAGCCTCCAAACTCTGACACAAGATAGCTTCTTTACAGTCCATTTAAAGGTAATGAGTAAAGCTGAAACACTTAGTTGATTAATTGATCAGTGGCAAGGCTCTCTGAGTGAAGGATTTGCTGCTTTTCTCAGTTTTACATCATTGTAAAATACGCTTTGGACAAAATGAGCACTTTGAAAACATCAGTTTGGCATCTAGGAAACTGTGATGAGCATTTCTTCACATTTTAATGATATTTTATAGAATAAACCATTAATAGATAAATAACTGACAGTGAAACAGCCCTGTTGTAAGGGGGGGAAAGGATATGTGTGTATCCTCAGAAAATTGGAAATGCAGAATTCATCAAAGCAGCCAGCTCAGTAAAATACTGAGGTACCGTCCAGTGATTTTATCTCAAAGTTATTTCTATGGCTCATTTTTATCAGCCAGTCAATCTGACTATTAAATCCCAGAATCTTTGCCTCTTTTTCTATTGAACTGATATATCATTGTACACAGGGAATAGCGATTTGATGAGGGGAAAAAATAGGGAAAAAATTGATGTGGTCTTGGTTGAGGCTGTGGTGATTACTTCCTGATTTAAGTGATTACTGTATGTTGCTCTGCTCCTGAAGGGCGAATTAGCTTGTACAGCTGAGACCTTGATCAATTTAATCAAGTGTAATGATGCTAAAGGCTGTGAACAGCTCCGTTCAACACTGTCTTCCTAAGGGGTCGGAGATCAGTTGTTTTACTGTTTCAGCACATTATATCACAGCTCATCTACTGCATTAATAAACATTATGTCCTTGTGAGATATGGTAAAATATTGCAGTAAATTCATATCTCTTCTCTGTGCTCTCAGACACATCTACATCTGTGTTTGTTTGTCAGTGATGTCAGGTTTTGTACTCCTTGGTGGACTTGCTGTTTTTGGAAAGAACATAATCTGTCAATACCCGTAACTGTTTTGTTCAGTGATACAGAAGGTGTTTTTGTGTCATGGACTTTAAGAAGTCAGCTAATCTTTGCAAGGCCGGGCGTGGCTGTCAAAGCTCCAAAGCAACAAATGGTTCTACAGTATAGATTGATCTGGCTAATTAACATACATGAATATTCAATCTTAAATCACTAATACCCCAAAATAGGCGGAGGCTGAGGTGGTGTGGCCCATCAGCAGATTGATAGTGATAAGTGTCAAGTTATAATGTCGCCATTGTACACCTGCAAGAATATGATCAGATGTCATCAGCCACAGATCTGTGAACTATCCAATGATTGTGAAGCTTATTTGGAACTGTGTGACTTGAGTGCAGTTCAGGTCCAGTGTGTAACATTTAGGAGAATATATTGGCTGGAATGGAATTTAATATGCATAACTATGTTTTC